CTTGGGCGGGGAACATTACCCCAAGATTTCAGCCTTCTAGCTTCTCAGATCCCGAGTTATGAACTTACCCAGAAAAAATTTCGGTGGGCTCGTACGGGGGTACCATGCTTACCCGGGGTCTGGGTTTCAGCCCACTAATACCCGCTTGGGCGTGGAACATTGCTTCAAGATTTCAGCCTTCTAGCTTCTCAGATCCCCGAGTTATGAACTTACCCGAAAAAAAATCTGGCGGGCTCATACGCGGGTACCACGCTTACCCGGGGGGTGGGTTTGAACCCACTAGTACCCGCTTGGGTGGGGGACATTACCACAAGATTTCAGCCTTCTAGCTTTTCAGATCCTCGAGTTATGAACCGACCCCAAAAACGCGGGTACCACGCGGGTTTTGGCGCCAATTTTGTGAATGGGAGCCCGTACATGCATGTAGATTATGTCCCCAAAGTTTCAGCCCCTTAGCTTTTGCCGGTCTCGTGATGAAAAATCGGTACAGAGGCCCAGCGCACACACAGACACACACACACAGACACACGCACAGACACACAAACACACACATAGACACACAGACAGACAGACAATCTCTCGTCAATATGCGTTTTTCGCATTGCATTCCTGCAAAAAAAGCATAAAAATTACATCGAAAACAAAAAGCTTTGTCAATTCTTGGTTGCAACGAAACGAGTGTGGACAAGCGCTTACTAGTCAAAGACAATGTAGGAATACTGACTCCTTCTCTGTTTCCTATTCGTCGATTTTGAAAAAATGCTCGACAGCGCAGAGATGAACGTTCTGCTATGAGGTCTTGTATGGAAGGTCTGGCAAGAACTGTGTGGAATTTAACGAAATGAAAACAACTTGCTCGACAGATATAACACTTTTTCACTTTGATCATTTGCCATAGTATTTCTTTCTTTATCATATAATCACTTAACATAGTTTATGAAAATCATCCACGTAGTCTATGAAAATTATTTTATTACCATTTTAGGTTTTTGGAAAAAACGACTTGCCGTATACAAAGCTAAATTTAGACGGTTCTCCAGCAGCATTTGGTTTCATGCGCGGTGCCAGTTCGTCATCAACAACGCATACGAACTGCAGCACGCCCACGAGAACTACAAGGCCTGCAAAAAAATTTTTTAGCCGGTGAACAAGTAACTGTTTTGGCTAGGTGTTTTTCAAAGCAATTGTTGCCATCTTACACAAATCAGGTAAGTAAGCAAACTCAAGTAAAAGGAATTTCTGTGACATAAAGATGAGCCTACAAGTCTATCTGACAAAAATTTACCCCATTCGAAAGACAACAGGAACTTGTATTTGGTCCTCAAAAAAAGTTATAAGTCGGGACAAGAATTGAAAGCTGATTATCGTGTGAATTAAACCTGTAAATCCAAGCCAAATTTATAGTATGAGGTTGGGATTCAAAACACACCGAGATCTTAAAACTCATTAAGAATTTTGGTCTTGCTCATGGCCAAACTGGTTCTGCGGTTAAGCTATCTGGATAGAAGTACATGAAGAAAAATCCGCCAAAGGTCTCTATGAACAGCGACCCAGTTCCGCTTCCTTTCAAAATTCTCCTTACATTTTCCCTCCTTACACGTTCAGATGCAATCTTCAACACATTTTCAAAAAATTGAAAACTCTCAAAAATCTAAGATTTGTCAAAGAATCCGATGATGGTGCCTGCTTTTCTCCTGGCAACTTCGCGTAAAATTTGCGCATCAGTAAACTCAATTTTTAAGGGTTATATACCTCCGAATATGTACATAATAGCTGCAAAAAGAGTTTTTGCATTACGCTCGATATGGCCAATAATACCAAAGCAAAATGCTGCGTAGCATATTGTGGCACCAATGACGTGCATTGAGGTAGGTAGTGCGAGACGACCTCAAATTCAGAAGCGTTACTCCAATATACTTTAATAGTGAGGTCTCCAGATTTATTAACTACAGAGATGTAGCTGTGCAACGGAAAAATATATGCCCGGCTTTTTTCTTGACAAGTTGATTGCTCGCGTCTGAACTCGAGTTCTATATGTTATCTTACTACGCAAGCGCAACACTTCATAATCTGAATAAAAATCCCAGGAAAGTTCCTGCAAATGATATTTTTATTACCACCCTACAATACCATGCGGCAGTAGCGGAGGCATGATTTTGGAACCCTACGGCAAAAAGTATGTCCCTAAGCAAGCTCCAATAACAATTATTATGCTTTTTTGCCTACATGCAAATTGCAAGAACGCATATTGGGACGACGTGCGTGTGTGTATGTTTGTGTGTGTGCGTGCGTCTGTGTGTGTGTGTCTGTCTGTCTGTCCGGGCGTTTCAACTCGACAACCACGCAAGCTTCGACGCCAAAGTTTTGCCAGCAAGTTCCCCGGCCAAGTGCCATCCCAGGGTCGTGGTATCAGCCCTCACGCACGTCTAGGCTCCGCGTACGAGCGTATGAAAGCACTGGCGAGAAAATCGCCAATTCAAGAACCATGAAAGCTAGAAAGCTGAAATTTTGCGATTATGTTGCCCGTTCACACAGAACTTAAATATTTCAAATTCAGCCCCCAGGTATGCGTATTTCTCGCATACGGTCCCGTGAAGTTTCCTGGCGGGAGAATCGATAACTCGAAAGCCAGTATAGCTGGGAGGCAAAAATTTTAAAGGGATATTCTCAGCCCGTGTACAAACTTAAAGCTATCAAATTCAGCACCTCCGTGTGCGTGGTTACCACGTACTGCCCCGTGAAAGTTTTTGGCGGGAAAATCGTTAACTTGGAGACTAGAAAAGCTGCGAGGCTGAAATTTTAAGATGTCCCCAGCCCATGTACAACTTAAAATTTTCAAATTCAGCGCAAGGTATATGCAGTTCTCAGATACGGCCCCGCGAAGATTTTTGACGAGAAAATTGCTAGCTCGAGGACCAGAAAAGACTAAAAGCTAACATTTTGAGGGTATGTTCCCTGTCTAAGTGCCATATTGCTGCATAATTAGTTTCCTAAACTTCAAGGGTCAATATACCACTAATTCTAGCTATTGGGACTTCAAGCTATCTTACAACAGCACGAAATACTGCAAAAACGCAAGATCGCACGGACTCGCTAGCTGCGCATCATCAATGATTCTTGTATGTTTCTGCATATTTATACAAATGCA